GCTTCTGCCTGGCTTGTTATTTATGATGTGTGAGCAGAGATAAAGCTGGCCTGGACTCGTGCATGCTCTGGCTGCTTCCTGGGGGTCCTGCTCTCAGTTCATGCTTGGAGCATAGGGTCGGATTAGATATGACCCCCTGAGGTCCCTTTCAACCCTGAATTTCTGTGATTCTATGAATGGCAGCGAGTCGTGGGTTAAAGTCAGTCTGTGGGAATCAAGGGCTGGGCTCGTCCCAGTGTCCTGCTCTCTCTTTATCCCATGGACTGCTGCCCTCCTCCGGCAGAGAGCTCTTGCAAACCCCCTCCAGCTGGAGGGCTGGAGGGGGCGAGCCCCCAGCTTCTCTCTGATGCCGAAGGAGTTAACTTTGGAGGTGGCAGGTGCTGCCTGGGTTAGCTCAGCCCCTTTTGACTTCTGCAGCCACTCAGGTATCCAAGCTCCAGGTTCCCCACCCCTTCTCTGGCTAGGATATAAGGCTGTGCACACCCAGCGCCCGCAGTGTCCCAGCCTCCAGCCTGAGCCTGCCCCTGCCAGCCTGGCCTGAGCAAAATGTCGGTCTCCGGCAGCAGACAGAGCTTCAAGAGCAGCTCCTACCGTGGTGCTCCCCGCACCTTCAGCAGCCGCTCCTTCACCTCCAACTTCACCCGGGCTTCCCCGCCCGTTGCCAGCAATGCCCGGGTGGATGCCAGGGGGCTCCGAGGCCCTGCGATGGGCCTGGGCGCCGGTGGTGGCATCACAGCTGTGAGCATCAACCAGAGCCTGCTGGCGCCCCTGAACCTGGAGATCGACCCCAACATGCAGCAGGTGCGGACCCAGGAGAAGGAGCAGATCAAGAGCCTCAACAACAAGTTTGCTTCCTTCATCGACAAGGTGAGGCAGGGTGGCAGGTAGGTGTGTCTCGGCGACAGGCCGGTGCGACCTGTTGTTGTGGGAGGAGACGGGTCTGGTTTTGCTCCATCAGCCCCCGGTGAGACCCGCGTGGGCCAGAGTGGGCTGGCACCAGGCGGGGGGCGGGGGAGACGAGGCCCAGCGGTTACGCCAAGGGGTCATGTTTCTACCCCTGCAGCCATAGAAGAGGAAAGGATCTTGGCTCGTGTTCCCATCGTGGGACCGGTTTGCAGAGTGCTGGGGCCTCCCTTGAGCTCAAAGTACCTCCTGCAGGGGTGGGAAAGCAGAGCCCAGAGCCCTCCTGGCAGGGAAAGGGCAGAGTCCACCGGTGGGTGCAAACCCAGCTCTCCTGGGTGTCCAGGGGTCCCTGTAGAGTGGCCTGGGATGTCATCCTGAGTGCCCCTGGACATGTTGGGCGTGTTTCCCATGTTGGGCATGTTCCCATGTGGCTTTCGGGATGTGGAAACGTGGTTCCTTCCCTGTGTGTCCATACAGTGCGGCAGCGAAAGGGCTCGGCCCCTAGAGCTCTCCTAGGAGCACGTGGGTGTGACACCACTGGCCTCTGTGCCAGGTGTGGGCGAGATCCGGCCTGTTCTCAACAGGGACCCCGGGTGGGCGCGATTCCCCAGTGCTCTGCATGGCAGGGCTGTGTGTGTGTGTGTGTGTGTGTGTGTGTGTGTGTGTGTGTGTGTGTGCGTGCATGCGCGTGCACGCAGGGGTGTGAGTCGCTTGTATTTTGCATGGAAGGAATGTGCGTGCGCGTGTGTGTGCAGGTGTAAGTGTCCATTGTTCTCAGTACAAGCTGTGTGTATGCGTGTGTGTGTGTGTATGCGTGTGTGTGTGCGCATGCGTGTGTGTGTGTACAGATGTAACAGCAGCCCATTGTTACACCTATACACACACAAACACACACACTCAGCTTGTACTGAGAACAGTCTATTGTTCTCAATTCAAGCTGTGAGTGCGTGTGTGTGTGTGCATAAGTGTAACAGTTCATTGCTCTTCTCAGTGCAAGCTGTGTGTGTGTGTGTGTGTGTGTGTGTGTGTGTGTGCGTGCGCGCGCGCGCACACCTGTTTCTTCTGAGCTAGTTCCTGTCTCCCAACCCAGCTCAGGCCTGCAGGGTGGGGCATGCCTGAGAGCCCAGTCTTGGGGGTCCAGCCAGGCACCTCCACACCCAAGGCGCCCCAGATCTTTGCACCTGGGATAGACACTGTCGAGGAGGCTCCCCTCCCCTGCAATGGGTCTTTCCCCATCTCCAGGCTTCTGAAATTCTTGCCTGCCATTGACCCCCCATTGCACCCCGGGACCAGCAGGCCAGGAGGCGGCTGCTCGATCCTGGGGTCACACCATGCCAGCCCCCGCCTTCACCCGCTGCCCCTCTGGTCTCCCATGCTCAGGTCCACCTCCGCCTCTTCTCACTGCTCCCTCCTGCCTGGGACTCTGACACCTGGGTTCATCTTAGGCTATGTCACAAAGCTGGGCCAAAGCTGGGCCACGGTGGAAATGATTAACTAATGCAAACATCCTGATCTCTTGAAAGCCCCTCACACCCTGGGCAACCTGGAGCTGTTTGCACTGAGGCGTAAAGCAAATGTGGCTTTCATGGCCTGGAGACTAAGGCTGGGCCTGGGGCTGGACATCCCACCACCTGCTCCTGGGGCGTCCCTGACATCCAAACACCCCAGGCTCCTCTTGGCTTGCAAGCTGCTTAATAATTAATTTGTGTCCCTTTGCCCACCTGCTGCAGGCCTGCCTGGCGGTATGCAAGCAGGGAGCAGCTGCCTACACTGGTGTAAATGCACCAGTCTCCTCTGTCCTATGCCAGCTCCTCCTGATTTATGCTGGTGTCTGATCTCTTGCTTAGCAACGCCCTATGCAGGCTCTGTCCCCAGCACCCAGTGGTTCCCATAGTTCCCATCTCCCAAGCAAGCTGCGCTACATACAGCCCAGATCCACCTGTGGGCAAGCCCTCAAGGTCTCTGTGGTGGCTCTGGGGAGATGGTGGGGATGGGGAGCCAGGGGAGGGGTGCTCCCACCAGTGGGACTATGCACGTCCTGCTGCCCCTGCCCCAGGAGGTGAATGGGGCTTTTGCATGGTAGCTGCCTTCCCGTGGATACAGCTTGCTCTGAGCAGCGAAAACCCCCACGGCTCTGGTAGGGACTGATGTGGGTGCAGTGACCCCCGGGCTGCCCCCAGCCTCATGGATCATCCTCACTTTCCAAGTGCCTAAAGGGCCAGATTCTTCCTTTCTCTGATGAAAATCAACAGCGAATTGAACTGGGCCTGCTTCTCATTTACACCCAGGCCCCTTTAGGCCACCCAAACAGGGGTAAATTGGCCTTGGCATCCCTGGGAATCAGATGCAATGTATTCATGACCTGGTTGGCTCTCTGTTACACTGGTTTCCATCCAGATTTCTCCACTGGAGTGAATTTGATGGTGTAAATGGGAATGGGATTTGGCCCTGCCTGCTTCCCAATGCTGTTGCTGTTTGCAGTAGGGCAGCTGGGAGTGGAGTATGGAGCAGTGTGTTGGTTTGGGGCTTGTTTGCCCCTTGCTGGTACCCGGCTCTGGTCCAGTTCTGCGCCTCTAGCTAGAGGACTGGGCCCCGGTCATGCCAGTGCACGGGCTGCAAATGTGTGAGCGGTTCCAGAGCATGCATGGGCGCTGGGCTGTGGGCACGGGCTCACCCCTTTCCTCCTTTCCCTTCCTTCCCCCATCCCAGGTCCGGTTCCTGGAGCAGCAGAATCAGGTGCTGGAGACCAAGTGGAGTCTGCTGCAGGGCCAGCGCACGACCCGCAGCAACATGACGGGCATGTTCGAGGCCTACATCACCAACCTGCGCCGGCAGCTGGAGGGGTTGGACCAGGACAAGTTGCGGCTGGAGTCCGAGCTGGGCAATGTGCAGGGCCTGGTGGAAGAGTTCAGGAGCAAGTGAGTGCCACTGACCCTTGGAAGGGGCAATGCCAGGCCACCCCTACCTCTGCCTCTGGAGCCCAGGGCTTGCCCCCTGGTCAGGGAATCAGCCGGCTCATTGGTTCTGCAGGCTGCACCCGCTTCCCCGCTGGCCTCATGGCCTTGCTTCTCTTGGGGCACAGACAGATGTTCTCACACCGGTGTCTTCTGCAGTGCAGTGCACCCACATCAGCAAAGCAATGGACAGATGACACAGCTCTTAACCTGGGTTAATTCTGCCCAGCCTAGTGGAGACAGACCTTGGGGAGGGGTGGCATTTGCCCATGTCTTACCTTGGGGTAGTGATTTGCTCTCAGTCCTGCTGCACCGTCCCCTTCCATCTCTGCAAAGAGGGAGTGAGCGTGATGCCCCTCGAGTCTGAATGATTAGGGATGATCAGCTGGCCTGTTCTCAGTGGGTGCAGATGACAGAACAAGGAGCAACGGTCTCCAGTTGCAGCAAGGGAGGTTTAGGTTGGATACTAGGAAATGCTTTCTCACTAGGAGGGTGGTGAAGCACTGGAATAAGCTCCCCAGAGGGGTGGTGGCATCTCCATCCTTGGAGGCTTTGAAAACCTGGCTACATAAAGCCTTGGCTGGGATGATGTAGTTGAGGCTGGTCCTGCTTGGAGCAGGGGGTTGGACTAGATGTGACACCCCGGGGTCCCTTCCAACCCTCATTTTCTGTGATTCTTTGATTCCATGAAATCCTGCCCTGGTACCCTCTGGGGGTGTCTTGAGAGTGTGCCTAGGTGGGCTTCCCTGTCCCCCAGCGGTGCCCACATCTGATGGACAATTCCCTTCTTCTGCCGGCAGGTATGAGGATGAAATCAATCACCGCACTGAGAAGGAGAACGAATTCGTGCTGCTCAAGAAGGTGAGGCCGGCGGGTATTGCTGCACAACGCTGGGTTGGGTTTCTCTCTCTCTCTCCCCCTAACGGGGCTTGTGCTCGGTTCCTGCAGGACGTGGACGAGGCTTACATGAACAAGGTGGAGCTGGAGTCCCGCCTGGAGGGCCTGACCGACGAGATCAGCTTCCTGAGGCAGCTGTACGAAGAGGTATGTCTCGCTGCGCCGGCACTATCAATTCCTCCTGTCCTGCAGGGTGAATGCCACTGAGTTACACTGAGTTCTTGCAAGCAAGGAAAATTTGCTTAAAGGCCCAGTCCTGGAGCATGCCAGCAGCCAGACAACGCCCATCTGATCTGCTGTTATTAGCAGGGGAGCTCAGATGTCACCTCGCCACCGGTGACATAAGGCCTAGCGGATTAGCGTGGGAAAGGCATTTCCATCCAGCGCTGACTCACCTGAGCCGGCTGCAAGGCCTCGGGGGAGGCTCGGGGGTGCACCGAGTTCTCGGTGCTCTGCCGCAACCCTGACTCTCTGCCTCCATGTCACAGGAGCTGCACCAGTTGCAGTCTCAGGTCTCCAATACCTCCGTGGTCCTGTCCATGGACAACAACCGCAGCCTGGACATGGACAGCATCATCGCTGATGTGCGAAACCAGTACGAGGACATCGCCAACCAGAGCCGGGCGGAGGCTGAGGGCATGTACAAGATCAAGGTGAGGCTGTGGGGTGGAGGCCAGGGGTGTGAACAGACAGCTTTGTGGCCTCTTAGAGGCATGGTTGGGGCCTCCAGTGCCACCTTTGTGAATGGCCTTGGCCACTGCCCCACTCTCCAGTAGGACCAGTCTGTCTTAAGAGTCACCTACATGCCTGCCACCCACAAGTGACCCATAGTGGCTGGGGCAGGCACAGCCTTGAGATCCCTCCTGTTCCCCTCCATTGGCCTCTGGTCCCCCGGGGTTGGAGACAGCCTTGGGCTTCATCGTCTTCTCTCCAGAGAGCTGCAGAGTGCCCTTAACTGCTGAGCTGGTTGATGCCCAGGTGGCCTGAAGTGGAGGCTGAGAAATCCCACTGCCTCCCAATACTGGAGGCTGCTGGGGGCACGGCAGTGGTGCCTGGGGCTCGAGGAGCCATGGATGGAGGAGGAAGCGGGGTCCAAACAACTTGAGTCCGGGTGACGAGGCTGCGGGATTCCTTCCTCGAGCCCCGTTGCTTGGTCCGTTGAGACTGAGGCTGGGCTTTGCAGTGGCCAAGGACGAGCAGGAAGACAGCGGGGCTCAGGGTGGGGGCCTTATATGTCGGTGTGGAAATCCAGGCAGGGATTTCCCTGCGCCTCTCTCTGCTCCTCTGTTTTGAAGCTGCAGTCTGTGTGGGCTGCGATTGCACATGGGCTGGGCTCACCACGCCCTGGCAAGACCAGTCCCGGCTCCCACGTGGCCCAGGCCAGAACCGCCCTTTGCTGCCACTTCCTGAGACACTGCTGCTTCTGCCCTGGCCTTCTCCAACCTGGATGAGGTGCCCGCTGGGCTGAGACGGCTGAACCCACGAGGGGCTGCTGGGATTCCCTGCCCCATGGACGGGTCCCAGCTCCTGGGATGCCCCCCAGCGTTGGCTGTGTGGCATTCTCCCCATGCCAGGGAAGCAATGTCACATTGAGCTTGCTTTGAGCTCCCCATAGTTTCTGACCCCCTCCCCAGCTCTCAACTGAATCCAGCCTTGCAAAATCCCACTTGTCGCTGGGCTGAGGGGCGAGCGAAATGTCCCCAGTCTCAAGTGCGTGGTGGGAGTGAGCATCTCTGCTGGCTCGGGGGGCCTGGCAGTCAACGCAGGGGGGTGCGAGGTGCTTTGAAATCTTGGTTCCAGCTGAGCCGTGTCCCTGGCAGGAAGCTCCTGCAGTCAGCCTTGCTGTAAGGAGCTGGCCCTGGCCGTGAGGGTCCTTCCCCTAAGGTCCTGGGCAAGGCTGGGTGATGTGGTTTGCATTGCCCCATCCCCTCATCTCTTTGCCCCCCATGCAGTATGAGGAGCTCCGCAACACAGCCAGCAAGCACGGGGACGACCTCCGAAACACCAAGGCCGAGATCTCCGAGCTCACCAGGACCATCCAGCGCATGCAGGCGGAGATAGATGCTGTGAAAGGCCAGGTAGGCAGGAGGCAGCTCTGCAGACCTCGCTGCCCCAGGACTGACCCCAACACTGGACCCTTCTCCTGTCTCTTGCTCCCTCCTTCAGGGGATCCTGGGCTTTGTCACTGGCTCGGGTGGTGGCAATCGTCCCCAGCCTGGCTGCAGTGGCAATGTGTGGCTCTGCTTCCTGCTGTAGCTGGGGATGTTGGGCAGGTCCTCAAGCTGGAGGGCACAATGAGTCCCCAGCCTCTGGGCCAAGACTACTGCTGGGGTAGAGCTGTGCAGCCCTGTGGCAGTCATAGCTTCTGGGCTTTGCTGGCTGCCTCGGGGGGACGGGGAGAAACTATTTCCCTTCCTGTAACTACAGGGGTCGGGGCTTTTTTCGCCTTACTGACTGCAGCCCAGGTCAGGGGTGGCTTATGGGGTGTGCCAGTGATTCCCATCAGGAGCAACTGGGAGGGTCCTGGCTAGAGTAGAGGATCTTGCCCATCTGCTCAGGGTCAGCCCAACCATCATATGTGGGGCAAGGAGGAATTTCCCCCCATAGTCAGGTCGGTGTGGACTGGGGGCGAGGGGGGAGGCTCCATCCTCTGCAATGGTGGGAGAGGACCTCTGCCTGGGCTGTCTCAAGAGCACTTGCCGGCCAGATGAGTGGTGCGGGCCAGATCGGGCCCTGGGGCTGCACCCCTCCTACCCCCCATCCCAGAGGCCTGGCATCACCCCTTACTGCTGGAATTGCATCCTGGGGGCCTGGCACCATCCCCTCCCAACCCCCCCCACCAGGATTGGGTCCTAGGGCCCGGTGCTGCTCCGCCCAGCCCTGTGCACTGGGATCCAGCTTGCAGGGCTTGGGGCTTCCCATGGGCCTGGGCAGCTCCCAGGGCTGAATGACACGGTACCATGGGGTGGATCTGGCCCACGGGCCAGAGGTTGAGCACCTCTGCTTGAGAGCATTGTAACATCTCTTCCAGTAGTGAGATACTTCCAGCCCTGGGTCATCCTGGCTTTGCCTTGGGTCCTGGGTATTGACTTTGCCCTGGATACTGCCAGCCCTGGGTCCTGGGCATCTTTGGGTGGCATGGGTGATTGTGGCATGTGGGGAATAGGGCAGACAAGGGCATGACTGGAAAGGTTTGGCTGGGGCAGACCCTGCCTGCAGATGGGGCTGGATTACCTGTGACCCCCCCAGAGTTGCCCAGCCACACATCTGCCGTATTTCGGTTTCTCTAGCGGGCCAACTTGGAGGCGGCCATCGCTGAGGCTGAGGAGCGTGGCGAGATGGCCGTCAGGGATGCCCGTGGCAAGCTGGCCGAGCTGGAGGCCGCCCTGCAGAAGGCCAAGCAGGACATGGCCCGCCAGCTGCGGGAGTACCAGGAGCTGATGAACGTCAAGCTGGCGCTGGACATTGAGATTGCCACCTACCGCAAGCTGCTGGAGGGCGAGGAGAGCAGGTGGGTGCTGTGGGGCCGGGTAGGGCATGCTGGGAAGGAGGTGGCTTTTCTGCTCCCGGGCAGGGGGTGCCAGGGCACTGGCTGTACTGCAGTGCACAGTGGCCTGATTAGCAGCACCTATTAACCCCTCGCATTCTGCACCCCATTGACTGCTCTCTGCACCCGGCTTGCTGAAAAGCCTCCTTCTCCCTCATGCCAGCCAAATTTGGGCTGCCAGGTTTGCAATATAAACCAGCTCCTTTGGAAGCCTGGCTCAAACTCCACCAAGTGGAGGGGACAGGAGAGCTCATCTGCTCTGTCCTTGGTCACAACAGCCAGTGGAAGTTGGTGGCCTTTGCTAACTTGTTTGCGGGGGAATGAAATGTAATGATTTGGGACACTGATCCTTTAACCATGGGCCGCAGAGGATGCACAGGTCCATCTGCTTTGAAAGCCAATGAGCTAATGGCTGTTTGCAGTATGGGGTCTTCAAAATGCAGATGAGTTGTCAGTGCTTTGCCATTGACAGTGGCTTGCACGCAGGCTGCACTAAATGCCCCTCTCTGCACCCTGGCAAACGGTTTCAGCCTGGCTGGGCGCTGGTCATTCATGTCTCTCTCTTTTACTCACAGGCTGGAGTCTGGGATGCAGAACCTCAGCATCCAAACCAAGACCACCAACTATTCAGGTAATTGCCCTTCAGGCCACGAAAGGGGCTGGGACTCTGCACAGCAGGCCTGGATGTTGGCAGACACAGGGCACTTGAGACTGTCCGGGGAGCAGCAGAGCCCAGCTGGGATCCGGGGTGTGGACTAGGGAGGAGGAGTTTACGACTGGCTGCACCAGGGCATAGGGGGGAATTGAGCAAGGTGGCAGGTCCAGTTTGGCCCCTTGGGCTCAGAAGAAGGCACTTTGACCTTCTGGTAGAAGGGGACTCTTCCTCTGGATGAGAGTGCCCATGCAGGGAGCAACTGTAGAAGAAGCTCTTGCAGACCAGCTTATTCCATGTTAGACTGGTGTATGGATGCTCCATCCCAGGGCAAATGTCTGCTGCTGCTTCTTCAGTTGCTGATCCGGTGGTTTCCCCTCCATGGACCAGATCTTGGTCCTAGGGGGAATCTAGTTGGGGCAGTTAACCCTTGGATAGAGGGGTTGCACCACAGACTGAGAGCAGGCTCCAGGCCTGGGCATGCACTATTGGTTTCCATTGGCTTTGAGGTGTTGCTCTTGATCAGCCCTGAAGCAGAGATCGGGCTCTAGTGCCACCCAGGGTCATGGGCTCACACTAGTTCAGAGTGCCACGCAGCAGCCATGGGGCACGGGCACAACCCTGCTAGCACTGCCCTTGGCTGGGGCGCTGCAGGCATGTTCTCAGTGGTCATGGCGGTCCTCTCTTTCTTCTCCCCACAGCTGGGCTGGGCAGAGCATTCGGTGGCTATAACAGTGGCTATGGTAGCTCACTCTCAAGCAGTATCTACTCAGTGAACTCCCCCCTGGAGAGTGCAGCTGTCACCAAGTCCAAGGCCATCGTCATCAAGAAGATCGAGACCAGGGATGGGAAACTGGTGTCCGAGTCCTCGGACATCCTGTCCAACTGAGCATGACCGACCGGTCCTCTCCTCTGCCTCAAGTGCCTTCACGGATGACCTGGGCTGCTGGGAAAGCCGGGACACGGAAACATGGGGTACTCAGAGATGGTACCCCATGATAATCTGGGGTGCTGGCTTTGATGACCCTCTCCATTTCTGCCTTCCATTTTCCTTGTCCCCCCCACCCGAACCCCTCCCAGCTGCTCAGACCAGCTTGCGGGGAGCCAAGTGTTGCAGCCAGTGCTGCTCAGAGCTGAGGAAGCTCCTGGGGTCAGAGCCACAGAGGGGCCTGGGGCACAATCCCTGCACAACTATCATTGATGTGGCATTGCTCTGGTGTGATGCCAAGCCTAGAGGCAAGGATCCAAAGCTGTTCCCCTAGCTCCAAACATCCCAGGGCTGTGAGGGTGTTTGCAGATGGGGTCTTGGGCATTGCTAGTGGCCCCCTGTTTTGTCACAGCACAACGCCACGATTGTGGCCCTCTCCGTCCCCTTGTGACCCACCATCTCCCACACCCCTGTGGGGTGGTCTCCCAGTGCCTCGTGTTTTCTCTGCCCCATCTCCTGGCTGTTTGGGGTGGGGGAAGCTGCCATTGTATTCCCCGTGGGTCAGCGACTGAGGCTCTCCTTGCTAGGCATCCAGGCAAGAGGAGACCCACTTGGACCCACGGGACACGTCCAGGGCTCCAGGTTCCAGCTGGGGCATCGCCAGCTCAACGCTTTGTCCACACAACTGTGATAAACCTTTCTGGGGTGGAAGATGAAGCAACAAAGCCCCTCTGTGAAACCCCTCCTGCCCTTCTGCTCCCCGGTACGCAGAAGGCAGGAGGGGAGGGGAAATGGAAGGAAAATCCCCCTTTTATTGGAGCTACAAGGTTGGGGGTGGTGGTGAGAAGCTGTTACTGCCTCTGCCCTCTTTTGTTCCCTTTCCTGCACTGCTCTGCGTGTTCTCAGTCTGGCAATAAATCTGTTACGGACAAAACCGTCCTCGTCCGTCCTCGTGTTCGGGGATCAGATCCTGTCTTCCTCTCATACCCTTTTGCAGTCGCTGTCGCCTTGTCACAGCAGAAGGGGAGAGAATGGGGCTGGATTAGCGGAGCAAGCAACGATAGACCTAGCCTCGTGCTTGGATGGGCGTCTGCTTTGCAGTGCCAGGTGTCAAAGCTACGAGCAGTGCCCTTCTGTGGGGGGCAAAGACGGCCCGTCTGCTTTCCCCAAAGTTGGGAACTGAACGTCAGCATCCCTCACCCGCATCACACGACCGCTGGGTTTACCACCATTCAGATTTCAGGCCCCTGCATCCCTGCTAGGAGCTTCCAAAGGCAAACCTTAACCTGCCCAAAGGAAAGCAATGCTGTAGCTTAAGTTTCTGCTGAATGGTGGGGGTTTGAGGGCTCTGACCCCCCTTGGGAAGAGGCCAGGGTGAGCACCTATCCCTAATTGAAGGCTGACAAAACCCAGGTTGCTGTGGACCCCTGCAAGGGGTTGTGCGGAGGGGGATGCAGGGGGCACCATGTGCATGTGTATGGAGAGCAGCTGCCTGCAGGTAGGTCGGCGGGGGGCAGGGGCAGATTGAAGCCCCCATGGTGAGAGAGGTAGTAGGACAGGGCCAGGGGCTGTGCTGCCCAGCCAGGGCGGTGCATGGGGCATGGGGTGGGGGACAGAGCCGTGGGTGGCTCATCCAGGGAGTGGGTGGGCTGTCCACATCCTTTTCTGTAGTGGGGGGCCCAAAACTGGACGTGGGACTCCAGGTGAGGCCTCAGCTGTGCTGAATAGAGGGGAAGAATCATTTCCTTTGATTTGCAAGTCGCTCTCCTGTTAATACAGCCCAGGATACTGATGGCTTTTTCACAACATGGGCACACTATGCTTGGTTCCTATTCACCTTATGGCCCACCAAAACCCCTAGGTCCTCCTCTGCAGCGCTGCAGCCTGGCCAGCCATTCCCCAGGCTGTATTTATGTGGAAACGCCATGTATCTGGGTCCATGAAGGCAGTTTTCCTTAAGTGTTCCTGGATATAACTGTTCTTTTGGTGTGGTTTAGTACCTGCTGAGGTGTTGGGGCTTACAGCCCACCTTATGGAAATGGGGGGCTCCTCCCTAGCTTGCTTCTGCAGCCATAGGGCTGAGGGCAGGTGAAACTTGGGGGCATCCAAGACCCTCCGGGCTTGGGTCTGCATGTAGGATGCCTGCCGACAGACTTTGGAAATATCTGAAGCCCCTGGTGGGGATGGAGGATGTTTGTCGGTTGTATGGCCACTTATGGTTCATGGATTTGGACTCGATTTGGCTTGGAACACAAAAAGTTTCTTAAAAAAAAAAATCGTGCATGCGGTTATTCTGCCCAAAGCACAGGACTTTACACTTGCCCTTGTTGAAAATCCGCTCACTGATGGCAGACCATTTCCCCAGGCTATCCATGTCCTGGATCCTAGCCCTACCCTCTGGAGTGTCTGCAAGCCCACCCAACTTAGTGTCATCCCAAAATTTGCTAAGTGTGTGCTTGATCCCATCATTTACATCATTAGTAAAGATGCTGGACATCACAGGGGAAGTCCTCTATTGGCCCTTCTGCAGAAGGAGAGATAAGTAGTGGGTGAGATTCCTAGAAGAGCTCGGAGTTTAAGTTTCATCTTCTTGTTCTTCTAGGAATCACTCCGCCCTCTACTTTTCTGTGCTCCTGCCCTCTGTCATGGCAAAGGGAGGTAGATGCAGAAGGTGGCTTTGGGGCAATTGCAGGTGACCCAACAGCTCCTCACAGAATAGAGGCATGGATAATATATTCCCTAAAGGGTCTTGGGTTTCTTCTAGCCTGGGGATCTGACTGCTCTCGACAAGCCCTTCAGCGGGGTGAAATCCTGGGGGGAGAAGAGTTACAGAAGCTAAATGATGACCTTGGAGGAAGATCAGCTGGGTGTGGCTTGTCCATGCAGAAACTTCAGCCAGAAATTAGACAACAGAAACTAGACAATGCTAGGAGCATGGGGAACAAGCAGGAGGAACCTGCACTCCTGCTTGCAGGCAACAACTTTGACCTGGTTGGGTTAAGTGCAACCTGGTGGGACCTTACTCACCGGTGGGCAGTAGGTATTGAAAGTTATAGGTTGCACAGATGGGATAGAGTGGGGAAAAAGGGTAGGGGGTGTTGCTCTCTATGTTAAGGAGCAATATACATCTATAAACAAGATGGGATCAGAGGAGGGCCAAACAGGTACTGTGGGTTAGGATACAAGGGGGTTGAGAGGAAAGGGACTTGGTAGTGGGGGTCTACTATAGACCGCTACACCAGGAGGATGAGCAAGACCTGTAATTCTCCTGGCAGCTCTCAGAGGCTGTATGGTCAAGACATACTATTGTCATGGGTGACCTAAACTACCTGGACATCTGTTGGGAGGAGCAGTCAGTCAAATCTAACAGCTCACTTAGGTTCTTAACCTGAATATAGGACCTCCACCTAACGCAGGAGGTATACGGTGCCATTACGGTGCTGGACTTCATGCTGGCTACGAGAGATGACCTGGTGGGGGATCTGCAGGTACAAGGCAACCTAGGGAATAGTGACCATCAATTGATTGAATTCACTATCCGGGGAAGGGTAGGAAAAGTGACCAGTAGGGCAGAAGTGCTAGACTTCAGAAAGGCTGACTTCAGTGTGCTCAGGAGATTAGTTAGTGGGGTATTAAAGCTCAACCGGAGGAGGGGGGCAGCAGGGAATAAGAGATGCTCTGTTCACCCGAGCATCCCTTGAAATAACCAGAAACAATGGCCACAAGCTGATGGAGCGTAGATTTAGGTTGGACATCAGAAAGAACTACTTCACGGTTAGGGTCGCCAGAATCTGGAACGGGCTCCCAAGGGAGGTGGTGCTCTCCCCTACCTTGGGGGTCTCCAAGAGGAGACTGGACAAGCACCTGGCTGGGGTCACATGACCCCAGCACTTGTTCAGGGGGTCAGATTCGATGATCCTTTGAGGTCCCTTCCACCCCTAGCATCTATGAATCTATGAACAGCTTGTAACCACAAAAAGGAAGAGGTTCTTGATAGCACATCTGATTTAGGATGGAGTTTGGCACATTGGTGAAGGGGATGGGACTAGCTTCAATACCCAGGAGGTCCCTTCTGGTTCTGTGTCCTAGTGTTCAGACACAAGGAATAAGATCCCATCAGATAGATGCTATTCTGCTGTAGACATCAATGGCAGGGAGCCTGGTGGGATTGGACAGTGGTTCTCAACTGTTTTAGTTTCAATGCAGCCCTCATTAGTTTCAATGCACTCCTCGTTGGACTTGAGGCACCCCTTGGAGAATGCCAGCTGTTAGTTCTCTCTCCTTTTTTTGACTACAGAAAAATTTGCAAAGAACTCAGGCCGAATGGCTTTCATACTATGATTTCCTATTTGAAACCTCTGGGTTTGTCTTGTGAATCATGTTTGCACACCTAACAGTGATGACATTGCATAGCTCATGGCATCCTTGAAAGGATTTCAAGGCACACTGCTGAGATAGGGGCTTTACTGTCAGCCTTTGGACTCAAGGTCTCACTTAGCTACAATGGCCACAAGCTAGCAGAGAGCAGATTTAGATTGGACATTAGGAAGAACTTCTTCACAGTTAGAGTGGCCAGGGTCTGGAACGGGCTCCCAAGGGAGGTGGTGCTCTCCCCTACCCTGGGGGTCTTCAAGAGGAGGTTAGATGAGTATCTAGCTGGGGTCATCTAGACCCAGCACTCTTTACTGCCTATGCAGGGGGTCGGACTCGATGATCTATTGAGGTCCCTTCTGACCCTAACATCTATGAATCTATGAATTAGAGTGATCGGGGGACTGTTTTGCAGTAAGTCTATATGCCCAATTGATATCTCAGTCTCCCCAGGTTACACGTGGAATAGGCTGACTTTTATGTCTAGCTGGCAGGGGAGCAAGCTGTGGATACGCTACCAGTGGGGTGGGGTGGAATGGGCCATCAGGGACTGAGGGGGCCTTCACCTAAGGAAGGAGACCCTAGTAACTGGAGATGAAGTTTAAAATAGCCCCCTGGAGCCGGGATCAAACAGGGGTGCTGCTTCAGGGGCATCTCCCTGCTGGTGTCCTGAGTGCCACTGCTCTTCCCTGAAGCCTGGCCATGCTACACAGGCAGCAAGGAAGGAGCCAGGAGGAGCAGCTGGATCCCAGGACAACAAGTGGTCAGTGGGGCATGACTCAGGGAGCAGGACATGGCCAGCTGCCCCGTTAGTGCTCACGATAAACGGAGGATGGCCAGCTGTGGGCTGTGGCCAGACCCTGGGAAAACCTCTTCTGCTGTTAACTGTCATCCAGATGTTCCTAAAATGATTTGGGCTCTGTGTCCTCTAACTCAGGGGTGCTCAACTCCTGGCCTTGGGATAGATCTGGTCCCTGGCACCATGTCATCTGGCCTGCAGGCCTCCTCACACATCCATGGGTAGGGTGACCGTATGTCTCGGTTTGGCTAGGACAGTCCCGGATTTCGTAGGCTGGTCCTGGCCAGTTGGTGAAGATTAAAATGAGTGCCCTGGAATTGCAGGGTGCAGGGCGCAGCCTGGTGGGTACACCCCTGCCTGCTGGCCTCTTCCACTGCCTGCAGCAGCACCACTGATTTGGGGGCAGGGGGTAGTGTCCTGGATACCCTGGATTTCCTTATGGTCACCCTATCCATGGGGAGCCCCATAGGCCATGGCCTGGCACAACTGATCAGGTGCACAGGGCAGTGGGGAGCCTGGTCCTGGCAGGTGGGGGTGGTGTGGGGCCCTAGAACCTGATTGTGGCATACAGGGCTGGGCAAAGGTGGCACGGGGCCCTGGGCTGGGTCCAATCCAGCCCCTGGACTGGTTCTGCACCCCTCATGTGGTTGAGCGCCACTACTCCTCCTAAATCCCACTCTGATTAACCCCTGGGGCTTGACGTTTGCAGAGGCGACCCTTTGCCCTCTCACCTGGAGGTCATTTTAGTTTGCCCAGGTTTCTGGGCGAGGGATCAATCCCGTTTTTACTCTAGCTCGTTAGTAGGACTCTCCAGAAAATGAACCCGCCCTTGCCCCTGTCAGCCAGCTCCTGCCAGCCAGCACGAAATATCAGGTCCGAATGTCACAGTTGCCTCAGGCCAACATCCAAACCGTGCCTTGCAATAGGGATCTGCTGCCTTCTCGTTCCCCACTGAGGGTGCACACATGTCATTTACTGGGCCATATGCTGGGTTTGCTCTGCCGTAAAGGTGCAGCAGGCATCTGACATGCAGCCCTACTCACTCTGATCCCAGGAAGTTACTCCCCGAAAGCCACGATGGCTGTAACTACACGTAGTAGAGCTACTACGTACACCAACTTCTTGTGTCTTCTTCCTTGGTTACTATCATCCCCCTTTGTATTTTGCCAGCTGGTTCCTGGCACCTAGAGGTCAGGTGCTGTAATAACAACCCGCCAATTTGACTGTCAGTCTTGTGTCCACACCTTTTTACAGCATAAATTTATTGCAGATTAACATGTAGGTTAACTACTTTCTAGTAATTAAGATATCTGTCCATGTCCTGTCCAGGTCTCGTATGATATTTCCTGGCTCCATTATGATCTAATCCAAATTGCATTGACGTGTACTATAAGATTTCCCCTCTTTTCATCTATTGTGGTTACAATTTGTATGCTATTTCACTTATGGCCACAGGGACAGATCAGAGTCCTGCTCTACTAAGGTACAGTACAAGCCCAATTAAAGATATGTCCCAAGTAATTAGCAGTCTAACTACAGTAATAGCTGGTTGGAAAAGAACGATTTTAATCCCTGCCAAAACTCACAAAGAAAACATTTTCATATCTATCAACATTTTAAATAATGAGCTGAGTTGAAACATGGGCTTTTTGGAAATCGCAAACTGAGAACTATCAGCCGGAAGCAGGAATAAGAAAAGGCTTTTTTGGCTTTTTTTTAAAAACAGAACCCCGCCTAAAATTTCAACAAAACCAGACATTTCCCCTTGAAATGTCCTTGTCCCTCAAAACATTTTATCCTTCAAAACATATTCTGAATGAAAAACTCCAAGCAAGTCTAAGCAAGACCCTAGATCCAGCCTGTCCCCTAGATAAGAGGCTACTTGAAATCCAGGGAAATCTAATCTAATCCAGATAAATATTTTAACCTTAGAGATCAAGATACCGATCATTTTTATGGCAGGTTTGAACGTATCATGAAGAATTAGCTAGAATTAGACCCTAATGTGAAGATTTGCACATAAAGAGGCTCAGGTTTTTCACTTCCCATTGTCAGTCAGTGCAAACTGTGGGTTAAGGTTCTGTGACTATCAAAGGTACCATTGGAATAAAAGCAGATAAGAGCAGTGCACCCACATTTAAGACAGTTCAGGAAATGATAGTGCTGGGCACAGCTTTCATGGATCAGTGCCTTGGACAGAGGGTGCAGTGCGGGAGTTGCTAGAGATCAGGGTTGAGGAATGAAAGCAGGGAGGGGTGGAGCAGTGGAGGCAGTATCCAACCTGCTGAGTCAAAGAAATGTGTGTGGCCTGCAAAGGGCTGCAGCAGAATACTTTTCAGAAGGAGCAGGGTGTGTCTCTGAGTTACAGTTTAGCCCCTGCTGTGACCTTGGAAGATGATCTGGTAGGAAATAATCTTGAAGACAAAGGTTAATCCAGAATAAATATGAGCTACATGATCAGAGGGATAAGAGCACTGACTCTGCTGTTTCCTAACCCATGCTGAATCACCTTCAATGACTCCAGCTCACTGAAATCCATGGATTCTTTCCACCGAACACAGTAGACTTTGGAGCCAACCCTCTAGAGCACTCCTTCATCTTTCTCTTCTCTTTTTTATTAGAGATCTTTATGTTGCATCCAATATAGTGCATGGTGGCCACATCCTTAAATACTTTTAAAAGACACTTTTAAAACAGAGGCCGCTGCAGGGAGGTACCTGCTATTATATTCCCCTTGCAGGTAGAAAAGGCTGTTGATGGAGTGGAGTGGTAATATCTCTTCCAGATAGGCGGGACTGACATTCCTTCTTTGCCCCCACCTCCCTTTGCTCCCATGTTAAGATAAATTAGGTTATTAAACACAGCAAGTAGGCAGGCAGAAGTGGATTGATTAACATTAATCAAATGATTCCTTTCTGTGAGCAACATTTCTGGGATTTCCCAGGAGATAAGGACAAAGCCACTTGATAGTTGCTGTTTTTTCTGTTGGTAAAAGGTGGCTCATTAGATAGAGCTAATAACACCAGTATGGGGACTTGGCTTTGTCCAGGACTTGCAGGAGACAGCCAAACAATGCAACAAGAAAAACAGCAGTGAAGTTCCCAGTTGGGCATCCATGTCTTCTTTCCAGCTTGTTTTCTGGCTTCATCTCTCGCAGATCATCTGTAAGGGCTGATGCCAGTGGGAGTCTGACAGGGGTGGCTCACTCTAGACACGTCCTGTACATACATTATTCCTCTAAAGCATCTCCTATTTGCCACACAGGATGCTAGACTAGATGGACCATTGGTCTGACATTGGGCCATTGGTATGATACTGCTTATGTTCTTATGCACAATAAGAAGCTAAACACAAAACTGCAAGATCATTTGGATCCAAAAAACGAACACTTTGGCTAAAAAACAGGCAGATTTTTATTTTTAAAATACCATCCATTAATAACCAAAAAGGCATGACCAGTTTTACCATACGGTCCTGTTACACAAGCACCCCTCCCCAAACATGCCATGAGCTATTTAGATGAAAATGAAAGCTTTCTACCAGAAGACCATCTTAATTGAAAAGCCCATTGTTCAGCCCTCACTTCTAAAAATGGTTCGACCCCAAGTGTAACCAGCTCTGGTAATCAGCCCTGTAGGGGTTTGCAGTGATTATTTTCAAATGCTGGTATGCAGGATGGAAGTGAAAAGTATGCTCCCTACTAGCCATGGAGGGGTTAAGTAGGTGGGGTTTATGTCGAGGAAGTACCTGATGGATCTTGGGTTCGCTGAAGTTCTGCCCTTCTGCAATTCAGCCACTCACATGCTTCAGACACCTGTCCCCATCTCCACCTCCCCACCTGGCTGCACCACCATATATAAACCCACATACACCCCATATAATCCACAGTCTTCAGAGCCCTTTGACTGGTCAACAGAGCAGCCTTGCCCTCTGCCTGTTGTGCTGACATGTCTTTCTTCCCCACCAGCAAGGGCCAGGCAAGTTATCCCTCCTTCAGCAGCTTTACCTACACCTCTCCTAGCACCCGCAGGATCACCAACCCCATCTCTGTCATGATGAGAAAGAAAGACCATGGTAATTTGGGATCGGGGTACAAACGCTTCTCGTGGGACGACCAGGCTATTGTGAAGATCAACCAGAACCTGCTGGACCCCATTGAGTCTGGGCTTGACCCCACTTACCATCAGGAAAAGTTAAAGGAGAAGGAGGAGCTCAAGACCCTCAACAATCAATTTGTCCACCTCATTGAAAGGGTAAGTCTTGGGTCTTCCAGCCTCCCTGCCAAGGATGGACGTGGTGTTTGGAGAGGTCTGTCTTCATAAAAACAGAAGCAAAGCCACGCTGGGTCAGGCTAATGGTCCATCTAGTCCGGTGTGCCATTTCTGACCGTGGCAGTAGCAGATGCTTTAGCAGGCTAGTATATGAACAGGGCATGTCGATCCATCCCCTGTCATGCCCACCTTAGCACCCACCATCCTTGGTTTGGAGATGTTGAAGGAAACATCTTTGACTGGTCTATGTGATAGCTCTATGAATTTGTCTAATCCCTTTCTGAATCTGGCTACACTCTCTGCCTCACAATGTCCTGTGGCAACACGTTCCACAAGTTAACAGCATGCTTGCACAAAAAAAGTCCTTGCTTTTGTTTGTTTTGAACCTGTCTCCTGTTCATAGATTGAATAGATTGCATAGATTTCTAGGGTCGGAAGGGACCTATTAGATCATCGAATCCGACCCTCTGCTCTGGGCAGGAAAGAGCGCTGGGGTCAAGTAACCCCAGCCAGGTGCTTGTCTGGGTGCTTCATTTCCACCGGTGTCCCTAGTTTTTGCATTCTTGGACCTGGTGAATAACAGCTCCCTGTTCCCTCTATCCTTTCCCTTCATCTTTGCTTTCTTTCTTTTTCCTTACATTTCACCATGGAAAACAGCAGGAAGAGAACAAAGCCATTCTCAATTGTGGAGTGGGTTACAATTGAATGTGGCTGAAGTTTAATTATTATAGGACCTGATTAGAGACTGATGGGGAACAAAGCACATTTGCCACGGGCAGACAATACCAAGCACTGGGGAGGCCTCGTTGGACGAGCCAAAGGTTACCCAAAATGGAAGCTCTTAAGAAGACATGCCCTAGCGGTGTGATACCATCATGCGAGCCAGATCACATTCCACCAGGCTGGGATATTCTGAGCCAGATCCCATCACCTGTGCCCACTTGCATGGTCCAGTGAGGTGGGGAGAAGCCAGTTTGTGTGGGGCAAACTGCTACCCCAAAATGCAAGCAACTAGGGAAGGGGACACATGTCTGTTATATTGTATATGGAGTGGAGTGACTTAAGCCAGGGTAGGCAGGATGTCTGTGTCTGCTTTAGTTTACCCCGGATTAAAATCAAGTGACTCTGCAATAAATGTGTCATGTGTTCATGCCCTGGATTGCCCCACATCAGAAGGCTCCTTACTGCCAGTGTGAAGTAAAGGGGCATTTAAGTAACCGAGAATTCAGCTGGAGCATGGGTTGAGAGCATAGAGGGAATGAATGTCTTCTCTCCCCAGGTCTGCTCACTGGAGCAGCACAAAAAGGTGCTGGAGACCAAATGTAGCATCTTGAAGAGCCAGAAAGCAACCCCTGCACGCATGGAGAACCTCTTAAAGACATATATCAGCCAGCTGAAAAAGCATCTGGCGGACCAAGGGCAGATGAAAGGCAAGCTGCATCTGGAGCTGCATGAAATCCAGGATATTATGGATGAAAACAAGCAGAAGTGAGTATAGACAGTGTGTCCTTAACAGGGTGGCCAGGTGGCTCGGTCTAGCCAGGTCTGTATGCAGCAGTTACACAAAGACGATCTAAACGTAACCCCCCTAAATGGATGCTGCCTCCATCTGGGGCTGAACGACAGACACATGGGATGGGTTTTATGAAGTTGAAGGAAGGCTTGATGATAACATGTATTAGCATGCTTGGGCTAGCTTAGTTAGCTAGCACAGCTTGCCCAGAACTGGTGGTATGGGTTTTAGTGCATGCTAGCAACCTGAATCCATGCCAAGGGTCCCAGGAGGATTCGTATTCTGGTTACTAGCCATGCTAAAGCCTGGGTTGCCATGTCTTCCTCACTAAGGTTACCTCTGCTAGCTAGATGGAGCTAGTTTATGCTATTTTCCTACCCGAATTTTGCTGTGTATTCTTCATGGGAGAGGGTCCTTGCTCTGAACAGACCCGGGCAAAGGGAAAATGGCAGGAAAATGACTTCTTCAGGGTCACTTAGCATGGCAGTGTCAGAGCTCAGAGAGTCCTGGTTTCCTGGATCCCTGCACAGTGCCCAGCCTACTAGATCACCCCTCCACCTCTCATCTGTGGCGTCTCAGTGGGTTTCCTCCATAGCTGGGACCTCTCTGACAGAGCTGGGCAGCTACTGCTCCCTCCGACTTCAGCTGGAGAGCTGAGGACCCAGCAGGACAGCCCCCAGTTGGCTCTCCCAGCCTTGTAATGCCTACACAGTCGCTAACTCCCAGCCACTCCTGTAGCAAACTGGTTCCCTTCATACCCCACAGGTATGAAGAGGAATTCAACCTTCGTAATGAGAAGGAGAATGATTTTCTCCTGATGAAGAAGGTGAGTCCGTGCCACTTCCAGTGGTGCCAGGTGTTGAAAATGATTGTGGTTTATTACTCGTGTCGGCGCCCTGTGCACTGACCTGTGCCAGCAGCTGCACAAGCTCAAGCCCAATGCCCAGCCCAGGGCAGGGTCTGACTCAGGGGTTCCCGGGCTCTTTTTCCCAGGAGATGGATGAGGCCTATATCTCCCAGAATGAACTGGAGGGCAAGCTGGACAGGCTGAGAGACGAGCTCGAATTCCTGAAGAACTTTTACGACCAGGTAAGCGAGGCTGGCTCTGTTTCTTTACGGTTCCTGGGGGATGCCATTGCGGGTGTGATGTCCCTGCCATGAAAGACGCTCCTAATTCAGCAGAGCAGCCAGTGGCTTTTCACAGAGCCTCCACTCTCTATGCTGCAGTTTCAGGCTGAGAAAATGGCAAAGGACACACGGTCCAGGGGCTAAGCACTCAGCTCGGCCCTGGGAGAGGTGGTTTCAATGGCTGTTCTGTTACAGACTCCCCTAGGATCATGGCCAGGAGGAAGAGAGACAGAGACACAGACAGGCTGGAAAATATCACGGTGGGGCCTTTGGAAACCAGGTGCAATCCTGGCCCCCCATCTCAGAAAGGATGTGGTAGGATTAGGAAGGGGTCTGAGGAAGATGAAGAGCCTGGAAGAACTCCCAAGAGAGGCTGGGGATTGTCCAGGTAGAAATGGGCTGAATGACGGCAAGAGGATGTCCCCTGTACCATAACGAATGGTGTAGGGAGAAGGGATGGGGAGACTCCAGCCCTCCCGTCTCCTTCTGGGAAAGCAAAGGGGAGCTGATGAAGTGAAAGGCGGCACTTTGAGAAGCTCTCCAAGCCGTGCACATAAAGGAAACACTTTGCTGAGGCTGCAGGACACAGACGGACCCTTAGGTTCTCTCTAGTGCTTCTGCATAAAGACAGACACTGCTTGGGCTGTTACCCTGCTCAGTGGCACCCAGCTTGGAGAAACCATGGCTCATAGGTGGCCTTTGAGTTCACGTTGTGGAGATTTCAGCCAGTCGGCTCTGAAGTCCCTCAGGTTGGGCCCTGGTGATGGCAGAAGGTGCGGAAATCAGGGGAGCACCTTAGATGTAGAAGTGGAGCCCTCAGCCTGAGAAGGGAGTCACGAATACCCTACGGTGACCTCACAGCAGCTGGATTTGGGAGGTGGCATGGGAAAAACCTTCCCTGAGACCTAGCAATGAAGTTTTGTGGGACGTGGGTAGCTCTGAGATGTGGCTGATGCTGGCTCTCTTCTTCTTCACGCAGGAGATGCATGAGCTTCAGACTGAGGTTCATATGTACAAGGAGAGTGTGGTCATCTCCATGCCTAGCCAGCCCAGCCTGGAGGTGGACAGCATCGTTTCCGAGGCCCAGAGCCAGTACGAGAAGATGGCTGAGAGGAGCTGCAAGGAGGCTGAGAAGGCCTACAGGGACAGGGTGAGGGAAGTCTCCTGCTTCCCTAAGCTGTCATCTTCCTCTAGCAAGAACAAGAGCAAGGCCATGGCCAGTTTGGGCTGTGGTGGGGATGGGTGTCCATCTTGCAAAAGCCACTTTCTGGTGGGGCACCATGCCTGGCTGGTGGGGCTGAAGCCTCTGTTGCCTACTGTTGGTCAAGCCAGACCTTATAGATTTCATAGACTTCTAGGGTCAGAAGGGACCTTGTAGATCACCAAGTCCAACCCCTTGCTCTAGGCAGGAAAGGTGCCTGTCTAATCTCTTCTTGAACACCTCCAAGGTAGGGGAAAGCACCACCTCCTGTGGAAGCCCATTCCGCCTTGCCCCTGCAAGAACCTCTCCTAGTTCACACTTCCCTCCATGGCCCCAAGTCAAAGCTCGCTTGCCCATCAGGGCAGCAGAAGGTGCTGTTAGTGGCCATTTCCTTCCTTTCCCTCTTGATGGAGACATGGGGTCAGGGAAGATCCTCCCTCTTGATGGAGACATGGGGTCAGGGAAGACCCTCCTTCACCGTGTGGGGAAGGGAGTGCTCCTCAGGCCACCTGGCTGTGGTAGGATGGGAGATGCTGTTTCCTCACCCTCCATGGGCAACCGTGTGGCTATGGAAGAGGACAGGCTGCTGCCTGGTCTCTTAGGCCTCCCAAGACTGCAAGGAGAACAGTTTTGTGCAGACAGGGGCCACGGCTCAGTTTTAGCAAGGTTGCTACTGAGACTCTCCTTTCATTTCTGAGCCCAGTGCTTTGCTAAATCCTTGCCAGGCCTCAGCCCCAAGGGACAAGCCCCTGAGCCCTTCTCACCATCACATCCCTTTCATTGCTCTGCAGCACAACAAGCTCAAGGACTCCATGGGCAGGCATGGGGAAGAGCTCCAGACCATGAAGACAGAGATCAACGACTTGACCAGGAAGAGCCAGCACATTCAGCTGGAGATTCAGAATCTGAAAGAGCAGGTCAGGGAGGCTGGGGCATCCTGGCAGGGTGGGATGGGTCCCCGTGCTGCCCTCCACGTGGTCCATGCCTTGCGCTCCGGGTGTGTAGCAGAAGATTGGGGCTGTCTGACGTGGCCTTCTGAGGATGGGGATGGTTGGGGCTGGAGGTTTTGCCTGTCCCATGTCCCTGAGAAGATCCAGCCCTTGTTTTGGGCATTGTATACCTGATACTCTGTCCCCAGAGGGGAGGCTGGGAGCATGCTGATACCCCAGGGTACGACTTCAGAGCTGCACACTCAGTGCTGCAGACACCTACCCTGCCTCATTTCTCAGGAGCTGGTGGGAATGAAGGGGAGGGACCAGCTTCTTGGGTGTGTTATGGAGGCCCTGTGCATAGTCCCACTCTTCTGCTGGTGCCCAGCTCTCTAAGGAGATGCTGTTGCCATTGGAGACCCAGGATAGGGCTGGCCCAGTCGAGGTCTTCTCAGAAACCTTCCCATGCCTCTTTGCAGTGCAATAAGCTGAAGGAGGACATTGCCAATGCTGATGACCGGTACAAGTTTCCCATTGAGGAGGCCAAAAATAAACTGCATATGCTGGAGAACGCCATACAGAAGGCCCGGCAGGACATGGCGCACCATCTGCGCGAGTATCAGGAGCTGTTGAACACCAAGCTGGGGCTGGACATTGAGATTGCTACCTACCGGAAGCTGCTGGAGGGCGAGGAGGGCAGGTGGGTGCAAGGCACCGGGAGCACAGGACTCTTGCATGACTCTCCTGCATGCACCCACCACCAGGGAAGTCCACTGATGGTCCAGGCTAGGGCTTGGTGATCTTTTGCTACCATGGGCCAGAGCTCAACCCCCTGCTGCAGACCACATATCTCTGCCCCACAGAGCACCCAAGTTCCCTTCACTCACCCTTGCTGCTGCTTCCCCTCCCCAGTGACCCTGAGCTGTAGTGATCTGGGCTGCTGGCCTTTTACCTGTGGGCATGCAGTGTTCTTCCGTAGCCTGCTGTTACATGTGCATTGCTTGTGCAACACTGGCTGCCGGGAACAGCCCGTGATCTGAATTCGCCATCCTCAAGCATGTCCAGTGGGCTCCGTCTGCAGCTGGGCCAGGGCAGCGGTGGGCAGCCTGCCAGGGGGATGAGTCAGAGTCTAAGTGGTGCCAAGTGGCCTTGGCCACAAAGTGATGCCAAGTGGCCTCGGCCACGAAGTGCCCCCTGGGAAGGTCCCAGCTGCAGCAGGAACCTGGCGGTCGGCAGAAGGGATATCTTCATGTGTCTTCTGCAGGCTGCTAGTGGGGTGGCAGAAGTCTTAGCTCAGCAGAGGGAGGGAGTATTTCTGGCTGGCAGGAAGTGGGCTCTGCCCCCATGAGTGGGGATGGGATGCACTTAAATCTTTGCTGGAAAGCTCCAGGTTTCTTTCTCCATGGGTGTGCAGTCCCTCAAAACTAGCTTTGCTCAGTCTCTGTCCTGCCTCCTGTAACTTCCCCGTGGCAGCCAGGTCCAACTGCTTGGAAATCTAGACTCTTTGTTGGTTTGGCCGAAGAGAATCTCCAGCACTTGCTAGCAGCACGGGGCTCATGGCACACACACGAGCTGTTGTGATTCTGCACTGACAGGGGCTTGCAAGCCCATAACACCCCACGCTTGTCCCCGCCTGCACCCGCCTTCTGTTCAGTGCCTGGCCCAGCCCGGGCAGCTCGTGTCCTGCTAATTCATACCCCTCTCTTCCGCTTGGCAGGCTGGAGTCTGGGATGCAGAACCTGTCCATTCATCACAAGTTTCACCACCATCATGGTAAAGCCACTAGCTTTGGCTGACGGGCGAGGTGTGTGGGCTGGGGCAGCCAGTCAGCCCTGGGGCAGTGTTCCCACAGGGGGTATGGCTGGAGGGGGAAGCTTGGCGGGTAGCAGGATATCAGGTCCTGGGGCTTTAGGGCATGTCTTCCTTGCTGGCTTCATTAGGCTCTTTCTTAGGTGTTACCTTCTCATCCATCTCCCACCCACACACAGGAGGGATGTAGCCCAGGTGAGCTGGCCTGGCTCATGGACTGGGTTGGATCTTGAGAGCTGCTTTCACTCAGATGGATAACCTTAACTAAGCCCTGAAGACCCGCAATCTATTGCTAGTCCTCCAACCCCTTCCCACAATCCCCGGCTGCATGCCCAGGAGGCAAGCTCTCCCACAGTCCACGGTCCAAGCAGGCTTTGCCCTTTCTCCGTGTTTGGGAGCAGGGAAGAGCGGGGCATGAGCTGGGATCACCCGTTCCCCAGGATGTGGGGCTGAAGGTGTCGTGGCTGGGCTCAGTGGCTATATTGCTCTCTCCTTTCCTTCAGGGCAAGGGGTTGCCTTAAGAGAAATCTCCACCCTTGGAAGCAGCAGCCACCCCTCCGGTGCCTCCCCCCTGGAAAGTCTGAGTGAGGAAAGGAAGCCCGAGGTTGAAAATTGAGGCCATCAGCAACTGCAGAGCCTGAACAGATTCACCTTCGTGGAGTCGCTGAGCCTCCGGGCCTCCAGTGGAAGGGATGGGGTGAAGGAGCAGAGTTAATCCTTTAGGGTAAATTGTTGCTTGGTCGAACCGGGTGGGGTTTCCCTGCCTGGTTGGCTTGCAGCTCAGTCAAAGATTGGTCCTTTCCCCCTCTCCATCTGCCCCCAAGAGCATTACGCTGTCAGAGTTCCTCCAATAAACCTCTTGCCTGCACGAATACCATCTCCATTCCTTGGATCGTTGTGTCTTCTGGCCCCGGTGCTTAGCTTTGCCTGGCTGTTTTCCTTATGGGGAGGAATTGAGGAGAGGCATCGGGTGCATTTGGGACGGTCCTTTTCTTTGCAAAGAATGGACATAAAGTCTTGTTTCCCTGAACACAGCAGCAGAAAACACAGCTGAGGTGTTTGTCTCGCGCAGGCGTCACCAAGCCAGCTGGTACCGGGTGTGGAGCAAAGCTGGGCCTGGGGAAGGGAGGCACCTGTTCAGTAGGAGGCACCAGATCTGCAGAGGAGGGATGATTTGGGGTGAAAAGAGAGGAGAAAAAACAAAAGAGCAGGACAGAACAGGGCGTGTGGTCCTGACCCCTGCCAGCTGGGCCAGAGGTGGGATCCTATCTAGGGGGGCTCTGCAGATTGGTTTATGGGGGCACAGAGTTGAGTAAATGTTTGCCGTCCCATTCCCCAAGTGGGTGAGAGATACCGAGTTGCCTCTTTAAATATCCTCACCCTCCTGCTCTCTCAGGACACTGCGTTCTGCCTGTCAGCCCTGACTCTGTGCCAGCTGCTGTGCGGGAGGATGAGGCATCCAGGGGAGTTGGCATCCTAGAGGGAGAATTGCTGTGCTGGGTCGAAATGTCTCGACTGCCTGAGAACAGGGCTTGGTGCGAGGAATGCTCCATGCCGTAGCCTCCCAGGGGCCTTTTTTGCAAGCCCCCAAATGTTCATGGAAATGGTCTCAATTTACTTTAAAAATAAGAGCATTCCCGGTCCAATGCGAATGGTTGCAGCGTGTCGTGCTGTCCTGCACAATGCAAAACAACCAGGAAAGCTCCCCCAGCTCTAACACTGATGTGCTGGCACCCCTCGGCCTCACCAAGTGAGGCACAAGCATAGAAGCAGTCCATCCTCATCAGACCCTGGTGTTGTACCTCCACCTTGGGTATTTATGAGGCCCTGGTTGTACCTGGACCTCTCCCACTCTTGAGCTACAAACCCCAGAGCTGGAGTCATCTCAAGGCAATTGCATGCTTGCTTTCTGTTGCTTTACTGAGAAGGGGTAGCTTGAATGATTGTACATTAAGAGGCTGGTAGTAAAGCAAAGCAGCTCACCTTGCGGGGACTTGTCCCTTCCTTGGGGCTGGTTTATGGCCTCACCTGCTGTAGGATCAGGGACAAAAATACTAGCAAGCAGAGTGGCTTCTTTTAACAAAGGGGTGTCAAACACAGCCTGCGGACCGGATCTGGCTCCTGAAGCTGCATGATCTGGCCTGTCAGTCTCTGGACTGACCCCATGCATCAGTCCTGGCCCCGTGTCCGGCGTGCAGGTTGGACCTGATGCCATACTCCCTGCACACAGCACATGGAGCCTGCGGCATGTGGGATGGACCCCGTGCGGCATGTGACCCAAGGGATCCAGGGTGCAGGCTGCATGTGGTGCACTGCCAGCCCAGCACAGTGCCAAGGCCACTGGATAAGGACTGGCCCGGGAACCAGCAAGTGCTTCAGACTGACTCTGTGCTCCCTGCAAAATAGGTCCAGCTGGCATGTGGCGGGCAGCATACCCCCCCATGCCAGTCCCTTGTGCTTTGTATACAGCAGATTGGTGTGTGCTGTGGGTGGCATGTGGACTGGACCTGGTGCCCTGGGCACTGCACAAGGGGTTGGTCCCAGTCTGGCCCGGGCAGGATGAGTTTGACACCCCTGAGTCCATTCTTGAGGAAAGGGTGCCCCCTGGCGGGCAGAAGAACACCTCTTGCACTACTTTGAACACCTCTTGCACTAGTGGACATGTCCGTTCCCAGGGCCAGGCGTCTGGCTGCAGAGAGCCTGCTGCAACCGTGCCGAATGATGGTGCCGAGACAACCCGGGCAGGGTCTGTCTCTAGGGCCTGACTCCTGGAGGTAAAAGCATTTCGGATTTTGGGAGCATGTGACAAACCTCCGTGTAATGCAGCCATTGGGTGGGCCCCGAGAGCGACGGATGCCTCACCGGGCAGGGGCTGGGGCTCCCTGCAGAGCCAGCCATGGGGGGTTGGAGAGTCTCCTGCATTCACTGGGTCGAGCTATGCCCAACCCTGTGCACAGAGACTGGCGGGGAGGAGGGGCAGGGGGGTGTTACAGGGTCCACTTTCACGTTGTCTGATTTGAAGAATACAGTGGGTACATCTACACGATACACTTACTGCGCATTAGCCTACACGGTGGGTACGTCTACACGATACACTTACTGCGCATTAGCCTAATAACACTAAGCAGTACCGTGTCACAGCACAAACCGTGCTAATAGCCTACTGCGCAGTGTTATTAGGCTAATGCTCAGTAAGCGTTGCTAAATAAGCGTGCGCCGGCGCTACTGTGCAGAAACTCTAGGTACTGTGCACTCAATTAGCACTTTATCAAGCGAGCACTAAAGAAAATGTGCAGTGTCTAAAGCACAGTAATGAATGTGTAGACGTGCCCATGTGACGTCCGCCACCTGTTTGACACGGGCCGCTGCAGTGGGATCTCCTGCAGGTGACAGAGGTGAGACAAGGGTCTCATTTGCTTCCAGGATTCAGCTCCACGCTCTTTGAGGATCTAGGGGGCATTTCCTGCTGCTGACAACTGCCTCTGGATCCACCCTTTGAGCTCTGATGAGCCTCAAGTTCATGGCTAACCCCTACTGCCATGCAGGCCTTTGCTCCTTCTGGCTGGGTATTTCATACCCTTATGGAGTGTGCATCTTCATAACCCCCTGAGATGTAGGCAATGCTGGGCTACAAGGAGGGAATCTGCACCTCCCAGACTATCCTGAGCCAAGGAAGGACAGCGGAGAGCTACTGCATCTAATCCTAAATCAGCTCCTCTGTGGCCTTGAGTAGTTTCATAGTTTCATAGTTTCTAGGGTCGGAAGGGACCTGGGCAGATCATCTAGTCCGACCCCCTGCCATGGCAGG